TATATAGAATAGAAGACGCTGTCATGTTATAATTAATTCCGACGCTCAGTCTTTTTATGTTTTGTTTTTAAATTCATTGTTCATATCTTTTGAACTAAATGACTTGTTTAAATTGCTGACAGGACAGGAAATCTAATATTAGGAATCCGGGTGATTGAGGTGTGTATACAGTTATAATATTATCTACAGGCTATTGGTTAGCCGCAAGTTGAAACTAGTATAGTTTAGACAATCCCCCAAATTTCTTTACAAACGCCCATCCTTACAATCCTCTGAATAGATAACGGAACTACTGGTGATGGAAATGTAATGAAATGGGGTTTAACGTTCTATTTACCTTTACCGACTGGGCTATTAAACACGCCGGGCATACCCAGGCCAACTTTTATTTAGAATCCAGCCTTTTATGGGTCTTTAGCGTGCACAACAATATACACACGGGGAATCCCGGTGTGTCGTTCCATCCTAATGACGAGACATTGTTCCTGTACCAACTGGGCTATCGAAGACGGGCATTCGATATAGGCAGTGTGCTATGAGGCAGCTTTTACATAGCTGCGTGTCCTACTATATTCTTATCGAAGGGTTCTTTTCCGTACACACCAATAAGTACACGGATGAACCTCGGTTTTTCGTACCACCCGTACAACAAACGCCATTTCTTTCTCATAGGAACGGTTATCAAATCTTTATTCTTTATTTCATTGTGCTATTTAATTATTTTCAGTATATTTTTTTCTGTTTTGCGCCTGTGTTTGATACAGCTTAACAGTAAAATAAACAATGGGGAAATATGATTTATACATTTGATTGATCCAGAATACACTTTAAAAAATACAATAAATTAATATTAAGGTAGATATATTATTGTAAATAATTATGTTAAGTGTATGTAAGTTTCATGACCAAGTGACCGAGGTTTAGCTCACCTGTCACAGAAGACATGACTTGACAGTGAGTATTTAAGTGACGCATGTGTAAAAGCATTACACATATAATAAATAATTAATATATAAACACATTCGTCTGTGACCTTGGATTAAAAAGAATGCTCGCACAAGTGACAATCGATATATGTCAGTGAATGGTGCTGTCATTTAATTATTATTACAAGGAAGGTAAATGGAAATGTTGTTTAGATTGCGCACTTTTCCGAAAGGAAATATTATGACATTATTATTATAATTGCAGGTGGAAAAGTTAATCACAGATTTTATAATCTATACAGAATAATATAAATTACGAAACAGTAGCTAGATATTACATTAATGTAAACATATTGGTTTATTTTCAGATGTCATAACAGTAGTGAATTTCTTCACGCTCGGCGCGAAGTCTGGTTAACGTGTACTTGTACATCAGAGCTAAAATTAGAATCAACCGTAACCGCGATTTGGTTTACTTGAGGCTACCAGGTTTAAACTTAAGTTCAAAATCTAGTACAGTGTATAACTCGTGATTTGGGTATTATGATGAAATGTATACCACCGGGTAGATAAAGCCAGTGTATATTACCATAGTTGCGAAATATTTAGGTTGATTACAATTTGTTTTTAACCTTTGTACTATAGTATCTATCCCCTCATAACAATTTGGAAACAGAATAACTGAGATGCCCACAAATAAGCAGCCATATAAAATTAAATGTTTCACATAGAGATCTGAGCTGTATTGCAACTTATATTTCATAATCATGGATAATTCTAGAATGAATAAATTTATATATAGGTGTGTGACTTTCATATAAAAAAAACACAGTATGCATGAGTATGGGCCTATGAATATCAAAAATACAAGACACTAAACAAAGACAAATACATTAGAATATTAATCAACGATTTTTTTTTTATTAAATCAGTGTACTTCTACAGATTTAAAAAAAAATCATAAAGGATGAAAATGAATGAATTTATGAATGAATGAAATGGGGTTTAGCGCCCGACTGAGCCAGAGAGAGGGAGAGAAATGGGGATTAACGTCCACTCGACACAAACTAGGTCATTTCGGGACTAACACATGGCTCAATTTTATTTCAATAATTCGCTTGCGCTTATGGGTCTTTAGCAGTGGGAGGAAACCGGAGGACCCTGAGAAAACCCACGAGGTTTGACAGGCGACCCTCCTTGTCACGTACAACCGGGGAATCGAAACCACGCCAGTTGACTAAATGACAGACATTATGATACAGCGCGCACGTGCTAACCATTCGCCCCCCCCCCCTTCCGACTGAGCTAATGAAGACGAGCATACGGTATACATAGTGTCTTATGAAGGAAATTAAGCTCTGACAGCGGTGCTACGACCTACTCATCGAATTTCAACTGCCAAGGGTTCTTTAACGTGCTCTTCAATTTCCAGAAGATTATACGCTGTCCCTTATTTGGAATCATAGATGTAGATGGGTTTGTTTCATAAAGATGGGACCACAACCATTTTAATTTTAATTGGTGAAATTTAATCATTACAAAAATTTAGCAAGATTTTAAATTCGATTACCATAATCGCCACCATTTAATTAAATCTCTGGTAGCCGTTCGAAGCAATTCATTATCATATTATGCAATGAAAATCTGCAAAATATTCCCGATACAGAAAGAAGAATTAATCCGGGTTTCATTCAACCATTTTACATTACTGTGGTCTAAATACCACAAGATAATATAATCATATTAAGTTATTATAAACTTAGCCTAATCCAATTGTCCAAAGTTATAAATAATCAGTGTTGATATTAGTTACGGACGTTAGTGACATGTACTTATCATGATGTGATGACATCATCTGGATAATTGCCCACTACTATTTACTGTGTATTTACCTTGTTGCCAATGAATGAAATACCAACCATATAATCGGGGACGAGAAACAGTTAATTCCACAATATATTGATATTCCACTTCTAAATGAGTAAATCGGGAATACATGTATTGATTTAACTTTCTGATGACATATCAGTTACTCACTCTCTCCTGTCTTAATAATTTTTAATGTGCCCATTTCTATTGACCATTAATTATGGAGAAACGAATTAAAACAATATATAATTTATAAATGAAATATTCAAATTAACTGCTTGTATTTAACAATGGGTAATTGAAGTTAGTTGCACTATGCAAAATAAGCAAGAAACTGTTTTTTTTTTTGTGTGTTTGCCATCAACATAATATCATCTCAGATGAAAAATGGGGTTAATCTGTCAATTAAGCTTTACGGTTAAAGTAGGTATAATTAGAATCTCTAAAACGTTCCTGTCCTGTGGCAATTTAAGACTGGGCGAATGAAGACCGACATACGCCATACATAAGAGGGAGATTTTGCCCGGGCTACTTTTATTTCGAATTCCAACAGTCAAGGGTTCATTTATGCACGGGGATCACGTAGCTAAGTGGGTAAGACGCTGGCTCACTAGCCTGGAGATCGGGTATTCGATCCCTGCATCGGCCGAGAAAGTTCATCCAGATTTTCCGGCGTGGTTCCACCTTGTCAGTGATGCAGGACGGAGGGCCTAACAATGACAGCTGTCTAATTATTCGGATGGGACGAAAAAACGAGGTCCCGTGTACACATTGCGTAAACGTAAAAGATCCCTTGACAGTTAGAATTCGATATAAGCGTAGGCCGCTGTCCGGGCAAAATTTCCCTCATAGCACACTGTATGGCGTATGCCCGTCTTTATTAGCCCAGTTCGGAGCAGAACAGTAGGACGTTAAACCTCATTTCATTTCTTTCATTTCATTTATGCACGCGAATGTGTGTACACGGGACCTCGGTTTTTCGTCGCAACCGAACGACTAGAAAGTGTTCCTTGTCACGCCTTGCACCACTCACAAGGAGAAACAGCGCCCGAATACCCCGAGGAACTTTCTCGGCCAACACCGGGAGCGAACCTGTGACCTCCTGGTTAGCGATTCAGTACCTTACATACTGATCCACCGCGGTTTCCAGAAAAAAAAAATGACTAACCAAGAAGACTCAAGCCAATAAACCCATTTAGTTATTGGGCCATCTTATAGCCTCCACTGGAAGAACTATGCCATAATGAAATGAAATTGGGTTTAACGTCCTACTGTTTTGCTCCGAACTGGGCTAATGAAGACGGGCATACACCATACAGTGTGCTATGAGGAAATTTTTTCCCGGACAGTGGCACTACGGCCTACTCTTATATCGAATTCCAACTGTCAAGCGATCTTTTACGTGCACGCCAATGCGCGTACACGGGACCTCGGTTTTTTGTCCCATCCGGATGACTAGACAGCTGTCCTTCTCAGGCCCTACGTCCTGCATCACTGACAAGGGGAACTATGCCATAATTACAAATCACCTGTTCAAAGGATTATGTTTTGGGTCATAATGCAATCTTAATGAATGGGTCAGTATACATACACTATACATTAGTCATCGAATTAATGTATGTATCATACATCAGTAATGATGTGCTACATTTATATTTTTAATTATGACGAATATGAAATATTGATTTATGTTACTGAAAACGCCCAGGAGCATTACGGCCATTTATAGCAATGAATAATTACATTACACGCGTTTCTTCTCTATATATCCTTATAGTTGCATTGGATATATGATGTCGTGGCTGCAGAAGAAAATAAATTGTTATTGCGGCATCTAATTGTTGTACAGGTAAAGCTATGTGTACCTTGCCAACGTGTACAAAACACGTGGAGATGACAGCTGTAAACGTTGCATGAACGTCAGGGGGAACTCCCGGCCTCGCTCTCAAACTTGATCAACAGGTTATAGCACGTCTTGATAAAGTAAGGAGAATTTGCTAGTAGAAGACCTGCAATTAACTTTACAGAATTATCACTAAATTTACTTTTAGAAGAAAACAAATAATTAAAATCGGTATTCCCACTTTGCATCAAGATGTAAATTTGTTGTAATGCCATTTTTGAAGCTGTATGCATTGAAAATTGAAATTTTGAAAGGATTTCCTGTGTTCTTTGACCTTGAATATATTACAGAAGAAACCAATGAAATACTGCTAAGTAATTTCAGCGGTTGAAAGTCCGATGACTCGTGAATGTGTCAGCAGAAATTCCTTGAACAGTTTAGAGAAGAGACGTGTTTTACTTAGTGCAAGATCTTTATTGAATACTTGGATATCACGAATTTATTGCATCAAGAATGACTTTAGAGGAAATAAATGAAGCAAATAGCACAATGCAGTCTCAAGAAAAGTAAGCATGCAAAATTATTTTTTTCATAATTGACTGTTTTACTTGTCTTAGGCAGAATTGTAAGGAGCAGTACAAAAACTGATGCAATGTAAAGTTTTATGATTTTAGTGGAGAACCGATAGACACATGGGTTTTAGTGGGCATTGGATGCAATTAAAATAATAGACGATATAGCCATGCATTTAGTTTGACATTTCTGGTAATACATCAATTTTTAGGTTTTAGAATGTATTATGTAATGATTTCACTTGGGATAAAATATTAGGCTAACAAATATATGAATTTTATCTTCTAATTTCCATGAAACTTGATAGTCATGGGCATATTTCAAACATGCCATAGAATAAGTGGTTGTCTTGTAAATTCATTGCATTTACAAACAACGTGCTTACCGGTGGTATTCGTAAACGTTTGAGAACGTTACAAGGTTGGTTGTGCGGATTCTATAATTATCGTAATGAACTGTAGGCCTAATTTGTAGGACCAGAGAAGATTTATGTGTATGAATATAAAATTGATGTATCTGATGTAATTATCAACTAAATCATGTGGGAATTAAACCCGATTCACGGTTTAAGGTAAAATATCACTATTGACACGCGTTGTGCAATATACCATACCGGGGAATCCCATTGGTCACACGCTGGAGTTGACGTCACAAGTCTCCGCCCACCATGACATACTTTATGATGGGAATTCCCGGTATCGTGATCGGGTAAATCATAATTCGAGGAAAAACAATTTAGTTTCCAAGATCCTGTATTAGTATTACTTCCTCCAAACCGTTACTAATAATGACAGTTTCGAGCTGTGGTATTATAAATGATAAAACAATATTATGGTATGATTCAAATAAACTTCCATTCTTTGTTATTGTTTTGATTTGCTTTAAATTAACATCTTTTGCATAATATTTTGTTTTGTTTTTCAGGACATACGTTAATATTGGTCGTATGACCAAAGAAATTATATGGCAAAGCCTGGAACAAGGTCGCCTTTGGTGTGGTGGCTATGAATTGGGAAGTTTTCTGAAAAGGTATGTATATTTTACCAGCGCTTGAGAAAAAAGGGTAAAAACCCAAGACATGATATTTTATAATAAGTAATATCAGTTTGGAAATTCCATTTGTAAAATTATGTATAGATAAAATACAGTCTATGATTCAAGAAAGGGGAAGTTTAACTTTGAATTTAATAATAAATCTTATAATCTTCAAAAAGCTGCCCAAATAAATATGTAAGTGTTTTTCCATAAATCTTATGTTCAATTATCAAACTTGTAAATGTTTTTCCATAAGTGTGAGCCCTGTTAATAAATATTATGTTCAATTATCAAACATGTAATTGTTTTAATTTTTTACAATTTTTCAGTAATCCTGATGACATCATGTTTTGTGTTTTACCTGATGTTAAGAATGGTGATGTAACAGCCAGCATAGAACATACCTTAATACAGGCAATATGTTGGGAAAATAATGTCAGAATCCTAAAGGTACTTTGATTACAAATTAATATTCTTTATCATTATTTACAAAGTACTCATATGGAAAGAACAAATTCCAAAATAATCAAAAAGCAATGTAGTATACAGTAGGATATAAATTTATATTAAAACAGCTGATTAATAGTGCAATGTATTATATAAATTTATACTAAAACAGTCTGCTAATAGTACAACATAGTGTATAAATTTATAGTGAAACAATGTACTCCTCCTCATTAATAGCGCAAGCAACAAGAGTAATACTACAATGGTCCATAATTGTTCAACATTTAATAAGTTGAAAAGACATATATTGTGTATAGATTTATACCAAAACAGTTGATTTATTGTTCAAAATTATAGTTTAATATATACTTGTATTGATTATGCAGCATATTATTTAATATATGTTATAGAAAATGATATTTAAAGCAGAAAAAAAATAATTCCATTTATTTATTGTTTAGGTGGATGATAAAGAAAAATTATCCCAGTTATTAGTAGGAAGACAGAAGAAGAAGAAAAACAAAAATGAGAATCTTGAAACAGTTAGCTGTGTTCTGTTGGAGGTAAATATTTGTTTGTTTTGTTCTTCATGTAAATAGCTGGTCATCTCTCTAATCTCCTGTGGCTAAGTGGGTAAGACACTAGCTCGCTAGCTTGGAGGTCGCGTGTTCGATCCCTGCATTGGCCGAGAAAGTTCATCGGGATTTTCCGGCGTGGTTTCCCTTTGTCAGTGGTGCAGAACAGAGGGCGTGACAAGCACAGCTGTCTAGTCGTTCAGATGGGACGAAAAACCGATGACCTCTGTATACTTCGAGGTGCATGTAAACGGTCCCTTGGCAATTGGAATTTGATATAAGAGTAGGCCATAGTGCTGCTGCCCGGGCAAAATTTCCCTCATAGCACACTGAATGGCATATGCCTGTCTTCATTGACCAAGTAGGAGCAGAACACAAGGACGTTAAACCCCATTTCATTTCATTTTCATTTCTCTAATTTCCTACCACTCTCTACTTGATACAAAGAGGACACCATGTTATCAAATACAAGGAGATATTTTGAATATTCAACCGCTTAAAAGTTTGAATTCGTGCCGAAATATTAATGATTTATTTATTAATGAGCTATTCATCATTTATTTTGCAGTATCCACCGAAAACTTTTAGTGCTGAAGAAAAAGAAGTGTGTGAGTTCTACAAATGGAACCAAAAGTTTGGTCAATCATCCAAACATATCATTCAACTGCCAGTTTGAACCATTTTCATCACAACAAAATGGGAAAAAAAGCAAAAAAAGCAAATGGATCATAATAGCGCCAGCAAGAGCTGACAGTAGTATATCTTCATAAAAAATAAAAATAAAAGAAGAAAAAGCTCAAGCTAGCAATATAAACCTAACGCTTACTGGACGTCTAATAAACTGTTGAAAAAAATAGAAGGGAGAGGTGGGGGCGTCTAGAACTGTTGCCATGGCGATCTCATTGAAAGGGGAGCTAGACAGATCTAGCTCCCTGATTAAATTATTCATTGGTGGAATTGATTTGCCATGGTAACCTATGTTACTATTTATAGTAATCACATTAATGCATCATCACTGTTGTCATGGTGATCAAATTTGTGTATTTGACATCACCATGACAACCCCATTTCATTGAGGTGGACACAGTGTGTTGTTTAAACAGAACTGGATACAAACATCAAGGGATAAAACACAGACTTACATCAAATGTGAACGAAAAATTGTTGTGTTAGAACACTGTGAAATTTAATGGAGAGACTTGTGAAACAAGGTGGAAGGACTTGGTTATCATGTGAAAGATATGATGAATGGACTTAAGTGTCATGTAAAACACCTGATAAATGGACTTAAGTGAAACACATGGTGGACTTAAGTGTCATGTGAAACACATGATGAATGAACCTGTGTGTGAAGGGGCTTGAGTGTCACGTGAAATACATGATAAGGGACTTGTGAAATATATGTTACAACAGATAAAAATGAATGAGTTGGATTTTATTCATATTCATAACATTATTCATGATGCATAAATTGAATACAAAAACATAATATTAATTATTTGTAAATAATCATAAACAAGACATGTACATAAATATATAAAATGTCTACTCAATCTTTTGTTATTTTTGAAATAATTAAAATTATATTCAGTCAAATTCTGCTCACAATACTTGTCAATATATCATTCCATAAAGTCAACAAATTGATTATTTTTGAATATGTTAACTTGCATGTTCTAAAAGATATGGTGTATTTAATCTTTTGAGCTCAGCTTATGTTTTGTATTGATTTTTCTGAGTATAAAAGATTTGAGACATAATTTGTCTGTGTGTGAAAGGTGTTAGACTTCATGCAAACAAGAACATAGGCTGTTCGTGGCAACTAGAATTATTGTTGTTAATTACATTTATAGAAGATTAGAATGTTGTAGAAAGTTGTATTTTTTGAAAAAAATATATAGGTGTTTATGAAGCTGTTCAAATTTCAGAAGCTGTTGAAATGTATTTGTTGTTTTAATTATTGGAGCTCAATTTATATCAATGAATGACAAAAGTGAGTTAACAATGATTATGTGAATTTTTTTAGGACATGTATTATATAAGATTAAAAAAAAATGAAAAATAAATTGTAAATAGAAACATAGTTGTTTGTTCTATTAATTTAATCTAGTTCAAATCGTCAATTAAGGAAAATGAATTAACAATACCATGTTATCAAAGGAACATGTTATCAAAGCAAGGGCTGTCAATCATTCTCCATTTGGTCTGGGCGACAGTCATGTGTCTTCTTGTGGGAAATGTCAGTCTTGATGACCCCAAAAAGGCAACCATGTTCGGCTCAGAGGTCAGACTAGTTAATAAACAAGATGAAGGTATTGTTAAGTGATCCTCCATATCATATGCAAATGTACAAGAACATCAGTTGTCAGCCATGTGAATAGAAGTGACATTGGGTGTTCTAAGAAAGACTGATCATGAAATGAAATGAAATGGGGTTTAACGTCCTCCTACTGTTCTGCTCCGACTGGGCTAATGAAGACGGGGAGTGTGAAAACCAGAAGACACATCTTATACTGCTGCCCCAGCGTTATGTTAGCATGAATTGATGACGCAAGTCAATACTACATTGCATTTACATCTACAACTCGCAATGAAAGATATTGCATCAGTAATACGGTTGATATTTCTTGTCACGTTATAAAACAACTATTTTGTCGAGGTGGTACTCCGCTGATACATAAAGGAAATGAAATGGGGTTTAACGCCCTACATTTCTGCACTGACTAGGCTAATAAAGATGGTGATGCACAACAGTGGCGCGGGAAATATATTTTGAGTGGGTTGGCAGACTTTAAATTTTAAGGTTTTTGAAAATTGCTGTATCCATGAGTCATTTACACTTACTCTTGACAACTGAAATATGGCTGTACACCTATATAGGTTCATTGCTGGAGACTACTCGCATAGCTCTAAATTTGAAGAATGCAAAATTAAGTCTGAGAACAGAAAAATGGGTTGGCAACCGGACACCTGTAAAAACTTGTCAACCTAGTTCTCTCCCCACTGATACCTAATTTTCTCAACGGCTCGAATATAAATTTGTCACAGGTCTTACAGAATGCAAAGTTTTTCCGCATTAGCCAAATGCAAATGCAAAAGTCGTTTTACTTCAACATTATTTATTTTTCATGTAATCAAAGTAAAAATTCAGGTGCATGAATCAAAATGATTTCGTTTTAGATTAGCCCGTGGGGCCAGTATATAAAACTCTTATATATGCATACAAACTATAATATACATAAAAACTGTGATAATGTCCATGTTATAGATTAATATTCCTGAATAAGTCTCTATATGGATTTGGTTACGGTATTATATCATTGATCTTATCATTTCTGACTATATATGGTGATATTGACTCTGACTATGATTGATATGAAAGCTACATACCCATATATGATATGAACCTGCAAGAATAGTAATGTTAAATTACTAATACAAGTGTATATATAGTGTAATATTATAATTATGGTGTTTACCTTATCCATATAAGGTAATTCAACTAAATGACTGTAGGTTGCTTCCCCTTGATTATAAACCGCTTTATAAACGTCCCCAAGACACACTTCATATCTATTGATTGTGTCAGTTGTCTATAAAAAGGCAACCATATTTGACTTAGACGGCAGACTACTTTATAAAAAAGCAGAGGAGATTGTTAAGTGATTCACTATATACATGTGTACAAATACATGTGTTCGCTGTTTGAATGGAAGTGACACCGGGTGCTCTAGAAAGAGTGAGCATGATTAGCGCCACGCACATCAACATTATTCTACAATATTAGGGTTAACGTATATATTCCATCTTCTCTTTATGGGATTTCAATAGGAGTTTACCAGGTGGGGGTAGTGTTCCTCTCCACTAATTGCAAATGCGCAGAGGTCAGTACACTAAACAGGTCGTTTTCGACAAGGCTTTATTTTCGAGGTCATAAGGGGAATACGACAAGTTATCTCAACATGATGCAATGTGAAACCTAAAGCTTTTTATAGCAGCTCTATCTTGATATTAGCACGAACCTATGACGCAAGGAAAGTAAATGCATCAGTTGACAAAACAACTTTTTTTCCGTGCTGTGGTTATTAACTTCGCTAATACATAATATAGCGTTACATTATCTCAAAGGCTCGAATACGAAATGACATGAAATGAAATGAAACGGAGTTTAACGTCCGAGTTTTCTGCACAGGTTCGAATGGGAATGGGGCATAGATCTTGCAGAAAGTTCACTCTGCGTGAGCCAAATGCATAAATATGTCTTTATAAGGATTTACTTATAGTGCAATTTCCATTTACAATAGCCCATAAGGTATATTAAACCCTTATGTGTGCATAAAAA